CCATCAATCTTATCATCTGCAAACAGTGAAAGTTTGGATTTTCCTGTCCAATTTGTATTCGCTTAATCTCCTTTTGTTGTCTTATTGCTCTAGTTAGAACTTTGAGTACTATATTGAATAAATATGGAGAGAGTGCACAGCCTTGTCTCATTCTGGATTTGAATGGAATTGCTTTGTGCTTCTCTCCATTTAATTTGATGTAGGCTGTCAGCTTGCTGCATATTGCTTTAACTATAGTTAGATATGTTTATTTTATCTCTGATCTCCCCAAGACCTTTAATATGAAGGTGTTTTAGATTTTGTCAAATACTTTTTTGGCATTTATGAGATGATTGTATGGTTTTTTCTTTCAATTTAATAATATGGTTGACTACATTGATATATTTTTGTATGTTGAACCATCCCTGCTTTTCTGAGGTGAAGCCAAATTGATCATTATGGGTGATTTTTTGATGTGTTCTTGGATTCAGTTTGCCAGTATTTTATTAAGTATTTTTGCATCAGTGTTCATGAGGGAGATTGACCTTTAATTCTTTTTCTTAGTTGAGATTTTTGTGTGGTTTGGGAGCACACATGAGACTCAGTTTCCATCTGAAGTCAGTTCTCACTTAAAGAAGTCATTCAAGTTCAAGCTTGCATTCTCTGCCTCTTCCAGTAACCTTGAGACCTATGTGTAACATCTGTGTTAGACCATAGAAATAACAGTTCTGCCCAGATGAAATAGTACATTTTTTCTATTAAGATTTGGGTTGAAGTCTCTTGCCAACCATAAGATGGCTCCCTTAATTAAGATATATACTTCCCTGCTCCCATATCCATCCTTCCTTTATCCCAACCATCCATCCCCCCCAAGCTCCCCCCATCCTCCCCTTCTCACTTTTCTCACCCCATTGTGTGGATAGATATGGCTTAAATCTGGTTTTGTTATGGAATATTTTGTTTCCTACATCTATGGTGATTTAAGGATAACTGTTTTGTTATATGTAATTTTACTATGTTAAAGTTAAAGCCTTCCTTTTTTTGTTTAAACAGAAAAAGGGGAAGTGATGTGGGAGTGTCATATATCAATCTGCTGATTTCATTGGTTAACCAATAAAGAAACTGCTTGGCCCTGATAGGTTAAAACATAGGTGGGAGGAGTAAACAGAACAGAATGCTGGGAGAAAGAAGCTGAGTCAAGGAGTCACCATGGTTCTCCCACTCCAGGCAGACGCAGGTTAAGATCATTCCTGGTAAACCAGCTCGTGGGCTACACAGATTATTAGAAATGGGCTAGTCCAGGTGCGAGAGTTAGCTGAGAAAAGGCTAGATATAATGGGCCAAGCGGTGTTTAAAAGAAAAAAAATAAATAATAAAAAAAAGATTTCGTGATTTATAGTAGTATGGGCTGGCATCCATGATCTCTTAGTGTTTGCAGAATGTCTATCCAGGACCTGGCTTCAGAGTTTCAATTGAGAAATTGGGTATAATTCTGATAGATCTGCCTTTATATGTTACTTGTTCTTTTTTACATCTCTTAATGTCCTTTCTTTATTCTGTATATTTAGGGTTTTGATTATTATGTGGTGAGGGGACATTTTTGGGTCCAGGCTACTTGGTGTCTTGTAAGCTTCTTGTACTTTCATAGACATGTCCTTCTTTAGGTTGGGAAAGTTTTCTTCTATGATATTATTGAATATATTTTCTGTTCCTTTGAGCTAGACCTCTCTCAAAGTTTCTACCCCAAAGTAATATGATAGACTTTGTTGACTCCCCATGAGATGTATCACCCTCTCTGAGAAGTACATAGGGAGTTGAGTGGGAGTAAGGTGGGGAGAGTGGGAAGAGGAGAGGGAGAGGGAACTGGTATTGGTATGCAATGTACCAAAAATATTGTTTTAATAAGTAAAGATTGTTTTACAAATAGAAAGTACATACTAAAGTTCCCAATTAAAAAAAGAGAGAGAGAGAAAGAAAAGGACATTTATATACCAGATCTTTCACCAAAGCCTCAGGATCGACCTCAAAGGTAGAAAACAAAAATAGTTAGATCCAAGTTACTGGACACCAGTGGCTAAGTAGAATCGAGGGATGTTTTAAGACTCTTGTACGTATGAACTGACTGTAAATTTGACATTTTGCATAAGATCCAGCCAAACAAAATAAAATGCATGGAGAAGGGGATCATGGAACCTTTCCCCTAGATGCGGAACAATTGGCAGTAGATGCCTTCTGGGTCAGAGAGAGTCAATTTTCCTCAGGGACACAACCTTTAAAGGCTACCTATTACCCAGTAAAGTGTCATGCACTCATGCACATACTGGCAACCACAAATGGACTCAGTAGTTTTAAATATTAAAAAAACAACATATAAATTTAGGAGAGAAATGTGGTGTTCAAGACAAGGAATGTGGTGGAGAAGAGAATCATTGAAGTTGACAAAAGTTTTCATTCATGAAAGGATTCTTCAAAAAATAAAAACAAATAAGGGAAAACTGCACATCTTATTAAATTATCTGTCATTAAATTATTACAAGACTCTGCATATGCCACTTTGCTTTCTTCTATGACCTAAAAGGTCCTTTTTTTTTCTAATGAGGTTTGAAACAGGACTCATGTTTAAATTGTAATTACATAAGTGGATGGTATTATTTAGCAATATTGTAAAATTGTCAAAGGTGGAACCAAAGGGGACAAAGTGGGTGATGACTTGAAGGACATTTCAAGGAATCTGTTTCTTAACTGGAAATATTTCTGGGATGTTTCACTATTCTCGGATTGCGCTCTTGTTTCTTTACTATCACAAGATTACTATAGTTAGGGCTACTTGTTCATTCACCAGGAACTATTCAACTCTAAGTGTTTCTCTCTCTTATGCCTCTGCTAGTAAAACTGCCACTGTGACAAAATGATCCAGGAACTTCTGTGTCTTATGGACATAATCGTATCAACATATTCTACACAAAGTAAACAGCACAGATAAATGAGAACATTTATAAAACAATTTTCTTCTCTTAGCAACATAAAGAGCATGTTGATAGTTTTAATGGAAGATAAATCCTTATATACATAGATTATAATTTTATCCATCACATCTTGCATCTATCCTGCTTCCAGATCCATCAAAAGTTCACTCTACATGGACCAGCCACAAGTTTTACATAAGACCAATCACAAAGCTTGCATAGAGCAACCCACATTTCAGTTGATCAAAATATTTTATGTGGATCACAATATGATGAGCCTTTCTGTCACCCATACAACTTAACAATCTTATTTGACAGTGTTCAAATCATTAAATATATTCCATAGAAGCATATACAAAAAGTCACTGGGTGCTTGTAGCTTAAGGAGTTTCTCACTCTGCTGCAGGTTGAGGCAGTTGTGATTGAGCAGGGTTTACAAAGTGGAATTCTGTGATGCTACCAGTAGCCAAACTGGTGCTCTCTGAATCTCATGCGAAGTTTCTCAATATTTCTGTAAAATGTCCAAAGCACCTAGGATACACCAATTATAGAACCTCTTATAGGTAATATTCTGTTGGCTGATACCTCCTTAGGCTTTTAGGGCAAACAGCAATTGACTGATAACTGTCAACCAAAGATCAAATTGCCCTCTAGTTTATTCCAATTGAATCAAAACTAAACAATACAGTTTGTCCAGCATACAGGTCAACAGCATTAACCTTTTAAATGATATTTAACAATGCTGAATTCTCTATGAAAGACCCAAAAGACAATTCACTCTCTTCATTTGTTAAGGAATCCTTTGACTGTACACTCATGTTTTGAGTGATATTTTACCCTCTTTATGTTTAACTGGGACCAATATTCCAGTGTGGTTGTTTTAATTTCTTCCTTCCTAACTTCCTGTCCTCTCTGACCTATTTCATGAAGAATTTATTCTGGGGAACTTAAACATTTTACTGCATGCAAATTACTTTTTACATTAATCCCTTTTTCTCTTCCTCCACACATTCTTTACATATACTGCTCAAAAATCTCTTAACCCTACCTCACCAATTCTCTTTTCTTTCCACTGAGGTCCTTCACATTCTGAGTCATCTATAAACTGTGATTATCCTATTGCACTTTATTAAATAATAATTAATGCTGCTTTGAACAGACTCATGAGAAGAAGTATTCAGACAAATTCTGAGCAGAAAAGCAGTAGAATGTTGAGAGTTGTCTTTTTTCTTTTATTTTTAAATCACCTCATATAATTGCTATTATGCTTCTGACAACATTTCAGTTCTAATGACTTACCTAATTTCAATTAAGCAGATCAATTATTAACCATTTATTTAATGCTATATAATTTATTTGCCAAATTTATCAGCTTTGTATTTCTATGAAATATTATTAAAAGATTGTTTCCTAATATTTTTAATTCATTGAGAATTAATCCAATGTATTTTGGTCATTTCATTTTAAGTTTGTACCTTTTTAAAAAATACTCAAATTATACCCCTAGTAATCCATTTCTATTTAATTTTCAGTGTTTTAAACACTTTTAGCTTTTTTTAGTTCAGTCTTAACATTACTTACATTAAGGGAGATCATAGCTTGTAAGTTTGTATTTGTGTGCCTGAGCTATTTCACTAATAGCTGTATCCTTAAATTTACTCATATGGTTACAATGAAAAGATTAATGTTATTGAAACTGAATATATATATACATATACACACACACACACATATATATATATATATATGTATGTATGTATGTTTGTGTGTTTGCTTGTATGTGTGTATGTCATTTATATCCATGGTATGCTAAAATATTATGTATCTACATCAATTTGTGTTTTGAAATCATTGATGTTATTTTTCAAGGTTATAGAAGCAACTTTCTTCATTCAGTTCTGCTGTAAGCATAAAAAATTTAAGTAAGTAGACACCCCAAGTACCATGGAAGCTTTCCCTTAGACAGATAACAGCCTTCTCTCATCAGATTTGTGTTGAAAAAATGAAGGAAAATGAATGAACAGGTAAATAAGGGGCAAAAAACATGCAATCTACTTACCTATGAAGCAATTGTTTGTTGTATATACACCTTATCCAGAGTATGCAGAATCTTAATACAATGAAGTCATGATTTAAAACAAAAGGACCCAAAGTGGGAAAACACATAGAAATGATGGCTGTGATGCTTATTAACCACCAACTGGGTTTATATAAAACAGCAATTAAGCCTTGTAATATGGAGGAGAGGGTATAAAAAGCTACATAAGAAGACACCAGAAATAGGATGCTCTGGGTGGCTTTAGACTCAGGGGAAATTCTGAGGAATACATGAGCACTGCGGATGTGTTGAATGTGCTGCTTGTGTCTATAAAGAATGGCAATCATAGAGCCACTGGACCAGATGATGAGCACAGAAAACAAGACTTCAGGAAATACCAACAGTGCTGTGTACAATGACTCTGCAATTCTATCATGACCCCAAGTGGAGCAGTATAGAAAATCTCTTTTTACTGTCATATTATTGTGACTCATTTTTATAATCCCAGATACAGGGATAATAAAATTTATAGTGATATATAGGACCCAGCAGAGGGAAATAGAGAGGGTAATATAATTTGAAGATTTGAATTTAAAATTCTTCCAAAAGGATTTCTGGGGACTGATGGTGATGGCTTGATAGATACTTAAGAGACAGGTAGTTCCCATGGACATGCTTCTGCCAAGTCTTTGAATATAGAAAAGAAATTCACACATGAAATCATTGAAAAACACTTTCATTCCAAAAGCTGCAATTGTATGGGGCACCCCTTTAGACAGAATGATCAAGCAGTTGGCTATGAACAGATGGGTGAGGATCAAATCTATAGGCTTCAGTATATGTTCATTATAGTAAACAGCTAGATAGTGGAAAAGCAAAGAGATATTTCCCAGAATTCCAACTGTATTTTGTGATAAGAATATTATTCCTATTGCCAAATACTTGGAATGCATTTTGATGTTTAGTAACTTTTCCTTTAAATTACAACAACACTTCTTTTCTGAGCAAAATGGTGAATTTGTTTTAAGGGATGAAGGAACCGGAGAATTATTTGATATTAAGAAACTAAAGCAGATGTGTGCAACATACTAACATGCCTCCTCACATAACATATATTTTGATAACCATTCTAGATTTCAAGAAATATTTGTATTCTTAGAAAGCACATACATATGAATATGTATGTATTCTTACAATATACAACATTTATAGTACAGCATTGTTACCAAGAGAAATCAATGATGAGTCACTGCAAATGAAAAGCACACTAAATTGTACATTTGCAGGATAAATTTTGATAACAATTCACATAAGAAAAGAATAGGCTTCCATCACCATCTACATTATATCAGGAAATAAATCCATGCTGAGTACATACCTTATCTGAATTTTTAGCATAAATAATGAGATTATTATCAGAGCAATGTTGTCATTTCTCTATTCCTATGCAATAAATTTTATATTAGCTATCATAAAACTTAGGAATCATAAGATTTTAACAACAAATTTTATAATTATATTTTGAAGGTTACTACTAATCAATGTTCCTTTTCACAAACTTTCAGACAAATAAAATATACCAAAAATTTTAAAAATCATTTACCACTGAAAAGAAAAGTGAGTTGGGAGAAAGGTACCTTGAGTATGACTGAATGGATGGTTCTGTTTTTCTAAGATAAATGTTATGGAACTACACACCCACATCAAACATGAATAATCCCAATATATTAACAATGATGCTACAATTATAACAACATGGCAGTCAATGAATCTTTCATAAGATCCTGGTGAACTTTACATTTTATAATATTCTTGTTTCCACTGAATAGAGAAATAGGTACAAAGAATAACATTCATCAGGATGCACAGAGTCTTAGAGGAGACAATTGAATGTTTGACATCATTATAACTCACCCTCATGGAGTTTATGGCCCAGAAATGAATTCTGTTGTACATCACAATGTTCTTTATTCTAGAAAATAAGCTTCACTTCAGAGTTCGATGATTCTTGTAGTTCTATTGCAATCATTAGTATAAACAAGAAACCATTTATCTGACAGCTATGATAGTCATAACAAAGTTATCTATGATTTACCTCAAACATGCTTACAGGGAAATAATATTGGCCTAACTACTATAACCCTTAATTATATTGGATATAAGATTTCAACATGACTTAAAATCTTCAAAACTCAGTCTCAGTAAAAATTCCATTGATTAAATTAGCTATGTGCACAAACTCAGGAAATATCTCTCTTCAGTTTCCCTTATCAGAGCACAGAATATCTTCCTCTCCATTAAATTTCCTCTGTTTATTTTTACCCAAGAGTTCATTCTCCCCATTTGAGCACTTAGAAAACCTCCCTTATTTTTTGGTCTGTTTTCAAGTCTGAAATACAAATGTTTACTTACTTCCTTCTTGCTCAGGTACCCTGACTCAGTGTGAAGCTCCTGGCATCCTGATAGGAAGCATTGTGGATGAGGAAGGCATCTCATCGCATAGATAAAGGTCTATGTCTCTGTGACCTTATATCCCTTCTGAACTACAGTCTTAAGTGAAAATGACAGTGCTGGCTTTGGGAAGAGGATTTCTGAAACTTTTCTCCCTTTGCTAATTGGCAAAACAATTATGAGTTTCCTGTCTCTAGAGGGATTGAATGCTTGGGAGAGCCTCTTACTTTTTCATTATCCTTGAAGGCTGAGGAGGAGGAAAGTTGCAGGGAGCAACAATGTTTAATATTTCATATTCTTGGATGTGTTCTTTGATTCGGTTTGCCAGTAATTTTTTTATTTTTACTTAAAAATTTCCACCCCCTCCCCTCTTCCCATTTCCCTCCCCCTCCCTCCATCTCCCTAAAACCCATCCCCTTCCCCATCCCTCTCCAGTCCAAAGGGCAGTCAGGGTTCCCTGCCCTGTGGGAAGTCCAAGGTCCTCCCTCCTCCGTCCAGGTCTAGGAAGGTGAGCATCCAAACAGACTAGGCTCCCACAAAGCCAGGACATGCAGTAGGATCAAAACCCAGTAATAGGGGGCTGGAGAGATGGCTCAGTGGTTAAGAGCATTGCCTGCTCTTCCAAAGGTCCTGAGTTCAATTCCCGGCAACCACATGGTGGCTCACAACCATCTGTAAAGAGATCTGGTGCCCTCTTCTGGATGCAGACATGCACACAGACAGAATATTGTATACATAATAAATAAATAAATATTAAAAAAAAAACCCAGTGCCATTGTTCTTGGCTTCTCAGTTTGATCATATGCTCCATCAGTTCCAGTCTAGCTTGCTTTAGTGAGCTCCCATTAGATCAGCCCCACCGTCTCAGTGGGTGGGCACACCCCTTGTGGTCCTGACTTCCTTGCTCGTGTTCTCAGTCCTTCTGCTCCTCATTTGTACCTTGGGAGCTCAGTCCAGTGCTCCAATGTAGGTATCTGTCTATAGCTTCATCCATCGCCAGATGAAGGTTCTATGGTGATATGCAAGATATTCATCAGTATGGCTATAGGATAGGGCCATTTCAGGCTCCCTTTTTTCAGCTGCCCAAGGATCTAGCTGGGGACATCTCCATGGACACCTGGGGACACCTCTAGAATCAAGTCTCTTGCCAACCCTAAAATGGCTCCCTTAATTAAGATATATACTTCCCCGCTCCCATATCCACCCTTCCTCCATCAAAACCATCCCATTCCCCCAAGCTCTCCCCATCCCCCCTTCTCACTTTTTTCTCTCCGTATTCCCTTGCCCCCCACCCCAAAGTTTTCAATTTTTGCCTGGCAATCTTGTCTCCTTCCAATATTCAGGAGGATGACTATATGTTTTTCTTAGGGTTCACCTTATTTAGCTTCTGTAGGATCATGGATTATAGGCTCAATGTCCTTTATTTATGGCTAGAATCTACTTATGAGTGAGTACATACCATATTCATCCTTTTGGGTCTGGGTTACCTCACTTAGGATAGTGTTTTCTATTTCCACCCATTTGCATGCAAAATTCAAGATGTCATTGTTTTTTTACTGCTGAGTAATACTCTAATGCGTACATATTCCACACTTTCTTTATCCATTCTTCCATTTTTAGTTGAAGGTTCAATTAAAAAATTAAGTAGAAATCACACTTAAAAAGTATGATAGTAAAAGTTATAAACATTAACCCCAAAGCAGTAGGTTTACTGAACCCTGTTCTACTCTTTAAAAAAATTAATATAATACTTCTTTATAAATCAATTCACATTTATTCATTGAATATCACATGAGTTCAGGATATCTTCTTATTTTAAAAGAATTGAATGGAACAGAACAATTTATAGCAATTAAAAAGTAAGGAACATTCATGATTTAGCAAACAGAACATAAATATCTGAAATTTTAACACTATTCTTCTTCCAAAACACATGCTCCTTTGAGGGTGCTAGACAGCAGAATTGTTAGAAAGATCAGCCCACACTCACCAACATCACTTTTTGCCCATACATGGTACTCAGTTCCCGGAACACCTTGAGATTCTGTAATTCACTAGAATAAGTTGGTATCACAGAGAACTCATAGGCACATCCTAGGGAAGGGGGAGTGGTTAAAATTAGCCCAGGGATAAGAGAGGTAGAACAGAATGCAGGCAACAGAGCTGTATAAAATAAATGAAAGTTATTTCCTCTAATTGTTTGCTCCACCACTAATGTACACCTCAGTAAAAAAAAAATAGTTTAGCAGAAAAAACATCAAACACTGATTGGTTGTTGCAGGGAATTAAGAAGTCTTCAGTGTTTATTACTTATAGTCCTGCAACATCTGTGTCCACGCCAGGATGTTTCTGGAATAAACATATCCACTGCAGGCTGTTGCTGATTTGCAAGCATGATGAGTGTTTTGATGTTGCAAAAAATATGAGTTGACCAAAGTGAGGCATTTCATAGAATCGGACACACTGGGATTCAGAGTTGCCATTCAATAATTGTCATCCTATAATTGCCATCAGTTTCTTTGGACCAATTCAGCAGGAAGAATTCACTACCACAGCAAACACCCTGGAAGATAGGATCTTTCCTCTTGCAGCCTAGAGTTCTAGGTAAATGTAAGGAAGCAAGTCAAGATACTGATAGAAGGGTTAGGGGAAGAGATATAGATATGAATAATTTGCATTAGTATAGATTTTGCTTTATTGATAGAGATTTAAGGTCAATTTTGTTATATGTATAAGTGTTTCTGATTTTGATTAAGGTATTGTGATTGTGTAGTTCATTTAAATATGTACTGTATAATTAAGAAATATAGGTTGTTAATGGATAATCATTGATAATAGTAAAGCTTGTAGTCATGTTAATTAGATTTTCTAGATATATAGAGATATATTTTAGATAGACATTCTTCATGTCTTTCAAAGATTACAGAATAGGACATTTAATGTTTTAATAACTGAGGACTTTTCATGACAATGAGGCACTCTGCTCCTGGCAGCACCAATCTACTTCAAGAGGAAGATGGGCATCGAAGAGGATCCTTATGGAGTTTGATAGCCATTTGGGCAAGAAACTGCTCTTGCCTGGACTATTGCATAAACTGGACACAGAGAACCCGCAGAGAGAGGACTACTGAACTTGCCTAAGGTGAGATGATCTTTCGGGGTTCCTGATTCATGAAAGAGTCTGCGAGACATTCTGTAGGACACAACAGATAGTGACTGAACTGACTTTGAATTTTCCTGCTTTATGGAAATGTCTGCTGGATACCATGGGCCTGAAGGCTGAAGATGGATGTCCCAACGGTACAGAGGAACTTTGGGTGACTGTCCAGGCAGCGAGATGTCTCTGTCATTTCTAGAGTTTTAAAAGTTGCTTTTTTCTTGTTTGCTTAGGTAGTATTGTATCTTTCTGGAGTCTTTGATGGAGTTAAGAATAGTTAGTTATAGTTATAGTTTTCCTTAGTTATGATAAAGATTATTGTAACTTTTACTTGATAACTGTTTT